TAAAATATTTGCAAATCACTTAAACACATAATTTAGAATTTTAAAATCTCAACAAGTGTACAATATAATGAAATTTGACAATGATTTGAACATATACATCATCAAAGCAAATACATAAATTTACAATAAATATATATGTTCAACACCAATAGTTATTAAGAAAACAAATTAAATCAAAATTTTATTGCTTCATTCCCAATGTAAGCAAATATCAAACATAAGCCAAGTGGGAACAAAAATTAAAAACTGACCACACATTAAAAATAAAGATGGTTACAAATATTAAAGAGAAAAAAACATGTAAACAACAAAGTAGAAGCAACAATATTAATAATATAATAAGTAGGATTCTGGGGAAATGATTAAGGATACACAGAATGATACTACATTATAGTTTTAATACATTTGGATTTCAAGTGTACAGAAAGAAATTAATAATAATCTGTGTTTCCTACTCTGTTAGCATTTTTGGACCACATATGGACATTAAATATAACTGGTATCTAACCTTATGGTTCCCTTCCATCCCATGCACCTGTATTCTCCAACCCAAGGTAATATTCTGATTCTTTGTTAATAATTCAGTTGCTATAATTTAATATAGTTTGCATATGTATACATTCCTAATTATTTTTATTTTAGTTGTGTTTACCTTAGTTAGAGGTATCGCATACAGAATTCCATATAATTTATTTATACATTTTCCCCTCAAGAGATGGAGCTTAATTTCCCACCCACTAAGTGTGAGCTGTATGTAGTAACTTGCTTCCAAAGAACACAGTATGGAAAAGGGAAAAAAGTAATTCTATAGAACAGAAACTATCTGATAAACACAACCTTAGCCAGATAATCAATGTTAACATCATTAAGGATAAATTATATTGACAGAAAGTATCCTTGCTATGATGTGTTGATACTGACACTTCACCTCAGTGGTCTTCTTTCCAAAACTGCATAACCACAGTCTAACCATGAGAAAAACATTAGACAAAATCCAATAGAGAGACATTCTGCAATACCTGACTAGTATTCCTCAGAACTGTCAAGGATGTACACAGGAGGATTGCTTGAGCCCAAGAGTTTGTATCTAACCTGGGCAACACAATGAGACCCCTGTTGTCTTGGGAAAAAAAAAACTGTCAAGGTCATTAAAAATAAAGTAAGTCTGGGAAACTGTCACAGCCCAATGGAGGCTAAGGCATCATGACAATATAATGTAATGTGATATCCTGGAAAAGTTCCTAGGACAGCAAAGGAACATTAAGGAAGAAACTAATGAAATTTAAATAAAATATGGACTTCAATTTTTTAAAAAAGATTTTCTGTATGTAATCTTTTGGGACTTATTTTTTCCCTTAATATACTGTTGCTTACATTAATGTTCATTGTGAATGTATCTGTAATTTTGTGTCATAGTATTCTATTGGATAAATATACCATTTATCATAATCAACAATCCTATTGATGAGCATTTGATTTATTTCTGGAATTTTTATTTTGTTAACTATGCTTTTGTAACATTCTTATACATAAATACTCCAGCACATGTGGAAGATCTTCTCTTGGTTATCTACTCAAGAGAGGAATTGCTGGGTCGTAAGACACATAAGTGCCCTAATATAGGAGATAATGACAGACTCATTCTCAAATTATTTCATTTATTTATATAAATGCAATGTAAAATAGAGTCTGTAGATCGCCTTTAGATTCAGTCTTGTTTTTTCATATCACCCCAAAGAGCCATTTTTGTACACATTTCCTCATTATAACCATATAATTTTAATACAATAAACATACTGTATAACTTTGTATATTGTATGCATAACAGAAATGTAATTTTTATTTTATGTATAAACAAAAAAGATATGATACCTAAGAAATTATACACAAAGAGAATAGATTTTTCTATCACACACAAGAAGTAATTTTTCCCCTTTATGGGCAATATTGCCCCTGCTGAGAATGCATGCTATAGACCATATATACTCCAGCATTGTCATGGCCAGACTTTGTCATTTCTTTCAAATTGAGTGGTTATAAAATGGAATTTTATTACAATCTTGATTTCCATTTCTCTTATAGAAAACATCCCAATAAACTTTGTTGTGTACTCTTCTATGAAATATGTGTTAATCAATTTTTCCCGTTTCATATTGGTTAGTTGTGCCATTATTATAGATTTGTAGGAATTTAGTATATAATTTTCTTGGTTGTATGCATTGGGAACACATTCTCTTGGCTTGTATTTTGTACTTTTACTTTCTATAAAGCATTCTTCAATGGCCAAAATAATTCTTAATTCTATTCCATTTGCGTGTATATACCTTTTCTTACATGGTTAATGCTCTTTGTAATTCTTTTTTTTTTTTTTTTCTAGACAGAGTCTCACCCTCTTGCCTGGGCTAGAGTGCCATGGCGTCAGCCTAGCTCACAGCAATCTCAAACTCCTGGGCTCAAGTGATCCTCCTGCCTCAGCCTCCCGGGTAGCTGGGACTACAGGTATGCGCCACTGTGCCCGGCTAATTTTTTCTATTTTTAGTTGTTTGGCTAATTTCTTTCTATTTATAGTAGAGATGGGCTGAGTAGTATAGTAGAGACCAGCTCGGGCTGGTCTCGAACTCCTGAGCTCAAGCGATCCTCCCGCCTCAGCCTCCCAGAGTGCTAGGATTACAGGCGTGAGCCACCAAGCCCGGCTTTTCTTTATAATTGTTGGACAATATTTTCTGTTGTGTGACTAAACGATTTTATAATTTTCCACAGAGGTCTTACATATTTTTGTTAAATTATTCCAAAATTGCTGATAATTTCTGATTATACATGTAAATGGTATAATCTTTTAAATTAGATAATTGTTTGCTGCTATTATGTAGACATGCAATTGATTTTTGTACATTAGCGAAACATCTTTATGAACTCTTCTTTAAATGATCATATAAATGACAGTTTAATCCCACATTTTATCCCTTATATTTTTAATTTTTATTTTCATATTACACTGGTTAAACTTCTGATAGAATGGTGAACTGCATCAAAGATAATGGACATTTTGTCTTTTTCCCAATTTTAGAGAAAATATTTCTAATATTTTCCCATTTAGAATTTATGTTCATTCAGTTTATATACACAAGTTTTATCAGGTAATGAAGTTTAGTTATTTTCTAAGGTTACTAAGATTTTTGGATTGTGTTAAAATTTATCAAATGTTCTTCCTACAGCTTCTGAGATAATAACTTTTTAAATCTTTTAATCAGTTAATATGGTAAATGTGACTTTGTATTTTCTAACATTAAACCATCAGTGTCTAACTGGCATAACTACAACTCACCCACAGTAAGCAACCTTTATTATATTTAATACATTGTAAGATCCAATTTTATAATATATAAGATAGTAGGCAATCTTTGCTTTAATTCACTGTATATTTACAAAATGTAATATCTTGGCAAGAAAGCATTATAAATTCCACCAAAAAGATTTTTTCAGTTTAAATTCCCGAAACTTAAGATAAATCAAACTAGAAATCAATAATAAAAAGATATCGTCTAAATATATCAACTATATTGAAATAATAAGCCTTATCTAAGTAATTTATGAGTAAAAGTAAACATTAAAATTAACAGAAAATTATTTATAAAATAATGAAAATAAAAATAAGTTACATTCAAAATGATGCAAAAGTTTTACACATAATTCATTAAAATAAAAACTGAAAATAAAGTAAGCATTCAACAAAACACAGAAAAAGAAAGCTAATAAAATTTCAGAAAAAATACATTAAAACAATTACATCAATATGTAGATGTATACGCAGATATATTAATAAATTTAATGCATGTATTAATTTAGTTGTAATGTTTTGGTGCTGCAGTTTTGAATACACTTAAGCAAAACAAAACAAAACCACAAACTATGTAATAACTAGACATCACATCATAAAATACTTTGAAAACAATGATATGGATCTCAAAATTCTAGAGGTATAAAGTCAAATCCTTGGCAAGTTTAATTAAGGGACAAAAGTAAGAAA